AATGTAATATTTCTCATTGTATTATTCTTGTACATGGCATTAATAATAATAATAATAAAATGCAACTGGCACCTCTCATTATTGACTGTACTGAAAATGACCTCAAAGCACTGTAATATTGTTTCAACTGTAACAATTTCAACTCAAATAATATGTCCATTTATTAATATAAATATATTTATTTGGTGTACAGTACAGTAATAATAATTGTTGTTGCTGTCATTATTATTATTAATATTACTACTACTATTATTATTATTATTATTATTATTATTTGGTGAGTACCCATGAAATGCTTTTTTTGTGCAATTGATGTTTTGTAATTCATGCTAAATTATTAGAGTTTTTGGTCAGTCAGTTCAACGCACGCATTCAAAGGCATCATTCACCAAGACTAGGGAGCATTGACAAACTGTCTGCGGTTTTAGGGACCATTTACAAATTCCACAGCTGGCATGTGAAAATGGTGCTGAAAATAGAAGTCATCTTTAATTATGGGCTGATGTCTATTCTCCGTGCCAGACAATACAATCAGCTGGCTTTTACTGAAACGTACAAGGCACACAAAGACAATAACAGCTGACAGCTCACGAATCATCAGATGACAGTAAACCGTTGAGTTCAATAAGTTACTTTAAAAAAAACATGCAAGCAGAAGCTGAACAATTTAGCATGGGCTGGTTGCCTTCAATATGTACATGACATCCATGTCATGCTAAGTGATCAATTATTGAGCAAGAAAAGAGCTTGTGGAGGAATAGAACATTTGGTTAGATATTAAAACTAAGAAAATTAAAACAACTGTAGTCAAAATACTCTTTTATTCTTGAGCAAGAATATTCTCAACTAATAAATATAAAATTGTTGAAGATATTTTGTACAACAGACATACAGCAAATATGCACAGCTGGGTTATTATAGTTTACTAGGGCTGTCAAAAAAATAAAATTGAATATTCGTCGAATTTAAAATAAAAATCCACATTCGAATGCAAAAACGATGCATTCGAATTTTAGGTGTGCGTTACGGAGGCAGCCTTATCAGTGGCGCACAAGATGCGATGACCATGTAAGTGTCGTTGCATTATAATGTTTTTGCTGAACCCACTAGATGCGGCGCTGCTACGTTGTTCATTAAAAATATTGAGGAAAAAGAGAACATCAATGCAGAGAAGATCTTGTTTACATCAAAACTGAAACCAAGCCGTTCACACAGAACACATATTTCGCACATGTTCTAGAAGGACATCTATCACCGTTGCACTCGCATGTCGCACAAAAGAGGCCCTGTCCCAAATAGAACACTTCATGTGCACGTGCGGTCTTATGGACTTACAACGGTCGCCGCATGCGCGTGTGCGTTAAGTCCACGAGACCGTAGGGTGTCCCATTCGTCATTTTAGTGTTCAGAAGGGTGCTTGCGAGCGTCCCCTTTGTGGCTGCTATGTGCTCCCGATACGCACTTCTGCCGAGCCCGCACGGGGCGAGCTCCACAACAGACTTCTACCCGACAGTCAAAGCGTCATTTTGCACGAAAGTGTGGACTCAGAGGAAGACCGCGAGGGGGTGATTTGGGACAGGGCCAGAGATACATTCATATAAACCCCCACCCCCAATTCAATAGGATTTTCTTCCAACATTGTGTGCATCGTGAATAGTGAGTTTGCTCTGCCTGCTACTGTATCTTCTCCTCTTTGAATCTGTCTTCAGCATCTCTGGCCTCTGTTAACGGCCATTTACAGACATTTCCACACAAACAACATTTTGGAAAATGATTGCAATGCAGTTTGTGTGCAAGCCCGGAAAAGTAATCTGAAATAAAACAAAAAATGGCTGGTCGACCGGTTAATTTGTATTAAAAAAAAAACTACACTGTATAAATGAAATATCGATTAATCATTGTTAAAGCTACAAAGTTACTTTTGCATGTATCTGTCTGTTCAAGCGCAAGATTTGTCTCTCTGTGTGCGCTGTACACACAGAACAGCGCACGAGTACTGAATGGAGTTGTCTTTTGCATCTTGCTTGAATGCTTTAAAATCGCTTGAATGATGCTCTCATTTCCCGAGTTGTGCTTTTAAGTCGGAATGTGAAAACAACATGGACACTCTCGTTATTACAAAGATGTGTTGGATTTGTATTATTAGAGCTTTCCCACTAGAGTTCACGTGCATTTTCTCAGTCGGGAAATTATTTTTCACGTGCGGTGCCAGTGATGATGCTTCTTACATCCGTTTCGGAGAACCAGAGGACAAATATTTCAATCGATCGCTCAGGCATGGCACCGAAATGAGGCACAGAAATCTGCCTTCTGATTCGGTTCTAATACATACCGGTTACATGGGTACCGGTGCCATATTGGTACCGGGTTTCGGTACCCAACCCTACTGAGACATAATGGATACTTATTAGCCTTGAAAAATAAATGACTGGAAACTAATTCTGTTACTGTGCTATGAAACACTGAAGGCCTAAAATTATGACTATTATTATTTTCTTCTAGTAATGATGGCCAATAATGAGTGAATTGTGAAACTGAATGAATATTTTTCACCACAACTTGGATCATTTGTTTTTATAAATATGTGTCAAGACAAATGTATTATTTCTACATTGATTACTTAGCATAAAACTTTTTTCAAGAAAACTTTCTAGTTTTGAATAATGGCCACTACATTCCACCATACTATACTTACTATAGTATATTATAAAATACCATAAATATAGTACATGTAAATATATAATTCCCTTTAAAAGTTTTTATTTTTTTTAAATAAGTAGTTTATGATTACCAAGGGTGCATTTATTTGAATAAAAACAGTAATGTTTTAAAATATTTTCTACAGTAATACATTGATTTTTTTATTTTAATATGGCTTACAATGTAATTTATTCTTGTGATGTAAATTTTCAAAAGCCACTTTTCCAGTATTCAGTGTTACATGATTGTTCGTAAATCTTTTCAAATATGCTGATTTATTATTATCAGTGCTGAAAACAGTTTTATAACAGCCTAATATTTTTGTGGATATCTTGATCTTGATCTTTTCAGAAATTATTAACAAATAGAAAGTTCAGAAAAAAAGTATTTATTTGAAATAGCATTTTTTTGTAACATTATAAATGTTTTACCATCAAATTTGATCAATTCAGTGCATCAGTTCAGTGTTTTTTTTTATTTCTTAAAAAATATTACTGATCCAAACTATTAAAGTATAATATAACATAAGCATCATACTATGCTACATTACAGTATGCAGTCTATACTATGTACACAAATGTGCAACATTCCAGAAGCTCCAGCGGTGTGGCTTCTTGCACACAGCGAAAATCCCATTAAATCCACAGGGCAAGTCTGGGTCAATCTGGCATGGAGCAGCAGAAATAACCTCCCAATCCTGCATCTCGTGCCTGGCAGGAAATTGGCACTCTGATGAGCTTTAAGCCCATTTTATGGCTTGTGTGGTACTATTGCCCGGGGCCAGTATTAGCACAGTCATATCTACAGCACAAGGCGAACTACAACACAACTTCCTGTGCAGCAAATAAAGGTGTTAACATGTTTTGGTTAAAAGAGTGGTCTCTTTTCTTTAGTGAAAGTGGATGAATGAATCGCATAAAAGAACTTGGGCATGTTCACATGCTGTGAAACTACCACTATGTCTCCTCCTCTAAGTTAACCACTCTTACTATTGTCTGATTTGAGAGCTTTCTTTCTCTTTACCTCATTTTTGCTCTCGCTCCACAGCCAGTCACCTATGGGAAGCTCTTTTCAAACACTGAGGGCTGAAGTGGGCAGCCACTGTCTGTGACCAGGGCCGTCTCAGATTAAATGCAAAAGAAGGGCTTTGTTAAGAAGATTACTGGAAACTCTTCATTCTGTCTTGTGGAGATGGGCAATAAGCAGCTGTTGAGAGAGAGGAGGGGGGACACTTGTCTCAATCTTGGTCAGTCATGCCATTATCGTTCATGGCTAATGTCAGGAATCCTTTCAACAAGGCTGCTGGTTGGCCGAAACAGCAGGAGAAAATGCCTCCCCTCCACAGATATCGCGCTATACTGAGGAAGGATTTGAGCTAAAACTAAACAAATTGATCCTTGTATGCTGTCACAGAGGGAGGAAAAATGCTGACCTAAGGAACGTGTCACTGGTGGCCTGGGTGATGGCAAATGCCCTTGATTGACAAGGCACAGCTTTGTTTAGAGTTCAGGAGAGTGTTTTGCACATGCTGAAAACAGCAATTACTCAAACACTTTACAGTTTTTGTTCAGAATTTGCATATACAGTGAAGCACAGAAGTCTGAGACTATGCTGAAATTGTAGAATTTTAATTTTAATTTAAACCTGAAAATAAACAGAAAGCTTTAGGATACATAAAAATGTAAAACAATCAAACATTATGATAAAATATTATATATAAAACAGAAATAAAAATAGAAAAATATATTATAAATATAATAAATAATTTATGTATTTTATATTTCTATAAATACATACAGAAAAATAAATAAGAACAATAAAATAAGAAACATTTGTGATACCGATCATTTGATTTTCTTGAAAAAAAGCACAAGATGCTCTTTGTATCATTCTCAAATCATGCTGGATAAAATGAATGGCAAACAAATAATAAAAAAAGTTATTTTTTTAAAAGTTCGATTATTTTCATATTTTATTTAATCTGTAACATGCTATAATTATCATTTGTAATAAAAAAAAATGTATTCAATTTTTGTTTTAAATTAGAAATGAATAGTAGCATTCTCAGACTTGTGGGGACCACTGTTTACGGAGTTGCTTTTTTATAAATGTTCATGTTTAAACTGACATTGCCATCAGATATTTAATATCCAATTTGACTTTTTAAACCTGTATAAAACATCTGGTTTGCAATTTTTCATCTAGACTGAATGTGTTCCCCCCCAGACCATTCAATGCATGGTTCACACTGCGAGTCTGCCTGTAGTTGTGAGTAATTTCTATTTCTGGTCATGTCCTACCTGGGATATGCTTGGCCCAGCCAATGTTGACCACCAGTTCCCTGTCTGCCAGGTCGCAGAGCGTGGTCAGGGCTTTGATGTCGCTGTCGGGCACGGTGGGGTCAGGCATGGCGTAGATCTTCTCAGGCTCCGCCACCAGCAAGTGAGACACAATCTTGTTATCTGCAAGGCAGCCAAAGGGGACTGTATTTGAACACCGAGGGGAGAACAAAGAAACAGATTGGGATTATACCAGCAAGGTCATATAGTGTTTGGTTCAGTAGCAAAGAATGCAATCAGATAACGTGAAATATTGGCAGAGTTGTTTTCTCTGGGCTTAAAGATGGTGTTTGTGGAACTGAAAATGCTGTTTTTGGTGTAGGAATGAATGCCTGGTGCTTTTTATAATCGAAAATAAAAGCTTTTTTGGTTACTTGTTTATTGGTTAGGAGAGAGTTTGATGGTGCAGAGCAGTGGTTCTTCGCAAGTTTTGCTTTAAGACAGATTTATTAGTAATAAGGGAATTTTATGCTGGCCAGATCAAATTAATCCAAAATAATGGAGTTTGAATGCTTGGTGAAACTTAAAAAAATTATAATAAATAAAAAAAGAAATAAAATAAAATAATAAAATAAAATACGTTTGAGAACCACTGCTGCTTTTTTAATTTACATCCTTCTGATGATTTTCTCATTGTGGATTATGCTGTGAATTGCGCATATAAAGATTCGTGTTCGGGCTATTCTGTCAATCTAATGAGAGAAAGGACACACATTTCAGATCGGATTGCGTCGGTGAGGGAGATTGGAATAGGTAATTAGTGACACCCTTACAGTTAAATGAATTCATTTGCTGTTTAATCATCTATGTCAATGCAATATGATAGACAGACAGAACCCAAATACAGCAATGCAATTTCTGTGTGCTTGTCTGTGTGTTTGCAAGGCCCAGACGAATCACTTTGAGCCCATTGCATCTGTGTTTGAGGTCCGAGGACAAAACGGATCACTAAATTAAAAAGCATTACCTTCTGAGGTGTGTGTGTGTGTGTGTTGGAGGAGGGGAAGAAATGGATCAATCAGCCCAGCCCTGCTACTCCAGGGAGTGGGGGAGCCTGTAAGTGCTATCTCTAGCTAAATCTTATTTAATGTTTCCCTAATTAGAATCAATGCAACCCAATTTCCAAACCCCATGCCTTTGTTATGTGCAAATAATCAATCAGGTAGGCTGGGACCATGGTTACTTCTCACTGTTTGTGAAAATAGAGAAAGAGATAGAAAGGAATGAGAGAAAAGATACAGGGAGCTCAGAGACAGACTGATAAAAGCCTCTATTAATGAGACACTGGACTAAAATACGAAAACCCTTTACAAAACTTAAACATTTGTCTGTAGGCCCATGCAAGGGTGGACATATTCTAGATTACAGACTGATAAAAAGACATCAGTGGGGATTTATGTTGGATAAAAGATATTTAAATCCAAAACGGAATTCCGACCAAAGCATATTCCCTTTAAGACAAATCTCAATAAGCTATTTTATATGTCAGTAACGGCTAAAAACCGACCAAAATCTTTAAAACTGATTGTCAGTATTACGTTTAAATGAAATATATCAAATCAGCATAACAATGGTAGTATAAACGCAGATTCTTTAGCTCACAAAATGGGCACATAAAAAATGCAATGCACAGACTGGCTCTTTTAACTGAAAAGTGGGAAGGATGCCATATTGAGTGCTTTGTCCTGTTCATTTTCCAATGAGTGGTCCATCGCCTCCCCCTTATACTGTCTCCCAAAGTCCCCATCTTGCTAGCATACAATAGCAGAGAAAAAATGAAGTAATGAATGTGGATGGGAGCTGGACATAGAGAATAAGCTTTAAAATAAGTTGCTTTGGGTGGCTGGAAATAAGCCTGAACCTGGAAGGAGGGATCAGTAGGATTAGGCAGAAGGTTATTCAGAGCACTGTATTCCTAAAATGATTTCTACCACTGTAATAATTAAGATTATTTCCACTGCTATCATGCATAAAAGCATATTGTATTCCAGGAGAATATGCTACCATTAAGTAAAAAGGCTTTAGGGACAAATCTGTTAAGCGCTGCCGTGCTGTCTCTTTGCAGCGCAGTCTGACAGCGCGGAAGCTCCGATATTGTGGGTTTGATGTCTTTGCCAGATTGGATTTAATCCGGATTAGGCCTCTCTCTCCCTCTCGCGCTCGCTCGCTCTCCCCTAACACACACACACATGCACAAACATCTTTGTCGATTGGCTCTGTCATATACTACATCTCTGTCTTTCTTGTTTTGTGTCCAATTTCCTGGCGCATTGGAAAGAAGGCAGGTCACTGTAAAGTGACATTGAGAAATTAGTGAAAGATTCTGTGTTTTATCTTTTTTGGGGTTTGACAGATGCAAAAAACGCAAACTTGAAGGGATATTTCACCCAAAAAAGAAAACTGTCATCATTTAATCACCCTTCCGTCGTTCTGAACCTGTATGACTTTTTGTCGAACACAAAATAGGACATTTTAACAAATAGTTTGACTGTTTTTCAAATGACTTTCTTTCTTCTGCAGAGCACAAAATAAGATATATTGAAGAATTTATTTACTTTTTTTTTTTAAACCAATTTGGACCCCATTAACTTTCATTGTATGGCCAAAAAATACAAAAAATATATATATATTTAAAAAAAATCTTCTTTTGAGTTCTGCAAAGGAAAGTCAGTCAGGTTTGGAATGACATAAGGATGAGGAAATTATGAAATAATTTTCTTTTTTGTATAAAACCTTACATTTGCATTTTTTAAATGCAACATTTGCACCTGTTTTATTTTTACATTAAAAATGGGAGTGTTGCTTAAAAAAGTGTATGCATTTGTATGAGAAAAAAATTCTTGAGGCTGAGAAAATCTAAGAAAACAGACTTTAAATGAATACAATGTTCTTACATGGCTTTTTGGGCGGCAGAGCCAGTTGAGGGTTCAAATAGGGGCTGTTTTCTGCATCTATCCGGCGTTTGTACTTCTGTCTTCCACCACGCACGCGGTCCAGTCGAACGCCTGATAAAAAAGCAGAGACAAGAAAAAAAACATTTACTTTTCGCACATCATTCTAGCACAAACACAACCTCTTCAATAAAGCAGTCAGATAACCTGTGCTGTCACTTTAAAAGCACTGCGAGGGGAGCGGCCGCTGTGAGCCCGCCATAAACGGCACGGCAGCTGTCAGTGGCCATTTCAGGGATGTGGACAGGAGATGACCAGCTGCTGACAGACAGGGGCACAGTCGCTCTCTCCATGTGACATCCGGACACGCACCTGCCCATCTCCCGCTTGTGGCGCATGTGCATCTTTAGAGCACTCAGCTCACAGAAAAATAACAGGTAAACAGCAGAGAGCCATTTGTGTTTGCGTTAACACACATCCTCAAAAGTGTTGGTGACAACAATTACAGGAAACACTCAAGAGCGCAGAGGCGTTCAAGTACTCACGTGAAGCATCTCACCGTGTCTTTAAAGGCGTCCCATTCTCCTTCATCATTCAAAGCTCCCGTCGATATTTTCCCCCCACAAAGAGCGCAAATAAAGTGTGATGGGTGGCTAATTTATTGAGGCGCGATGGTTGTGAAAACATTCTGAATCCATCCATCGCAACCCGCGATTCTGATGAGTGCAGAGCCTTAAAGACCTGTCCCTGCTTTTAATTAATTGACATACAAAAGAGCCTTAATTTAATTATGCAAACCTCTCCAGGGGATGGGCAGTTTCCGTGGAAACCACTTTAAGGTGGCCGAGGACCCATTTCATGTTGCATGCTGGAGAGGAATGGAATGGACATGAAGGTCCAGTGGGCTGGCCCTCGTTTCACAATTAAAACACTGGAATTCTCGTTTATCTGAATGGCGCTCAATCGCCACCTACGCTGGGCTTTCAGGGCCTGAATAATTTCTGAATAATTTAACAATGAGATGCACCTTTCTCATATTGAAGAGCACTGATTGAAAATTTGAAGTGCTGCTTATGGGTTTTACCTGATTACATTTTAACTCACCTAAATGTGAATCTTTTTGTGTCAATGGAGATGCTGACATACAAAAACACAAGGGATTTCTCCCTAATATTTTGATCACTAGTCAGTTAAAAAATTTTTAAATTGGCAAATAAAATTTAACTCTGGTCCCCCAAACCCAATAATGGTCTACATTATTATTCATAATATAATATAATATAATATAATATAATATAATATAATATAATATAATATAATATAATATAATATAATATAATATAATATAATATAATATAATATAATATAATATAATATAATATAATATAATATAATATAATATAATATAATATAATATAATATAATATAATATAATAATACAGCCTTTATGTAAAATAAACTAAAATTAAATCAATCAATTAATTAAAATAAATGGAATAATCCAATATAAATTATAATATTTAAAAATAAAATAAAATAAAAAATAGAAGAAATTTATGTATAATCATATATATCTTGCCTATATCTTTTTTTTTACTATTACCCTTGACTAGTATAGATCTGGGATGCGTACAATAAATGGAGATGGTGAAAACATTCTGAATCCATCCATCGCAACCCGCGATTCTGATGAGTGCAGAGCCTTAAAGACCTGTCCCTGCTTTTAATTAATTGACATACAAAAGAGCCTTAATTTAATTATGCAAACCTCTCCAGGGGATGGGCAGTTTCCGTGGAAACCACTTTAAGGTGGCCGAGGACCCATTTCATGTTGCATGCTGGAGAGGAATGGAATGGACATGAAGGTCCAGTGGGCCGGCCCTCGTTTCACAATTAAAACACTGGAATTCTCGTTTATCTGAATGGCGCTCAATCGCCACCTACGCTGGGCTTTCAGGGCCTGAATAATTTCTGAATAATTTAACAATGAGATGCACCTTTCTAATATTGAACAGCGCTGACTGAAATTTTGAAGTGCTGCTTATGGGTTTTACCTGATTACATTTTAACTCACCTAAATGTGAATCTTTTTGTGTCAATGGAGATGCTGACATACAAAAACACAAGGGATTTCTCCCTAATATTTTGATCACTAGTCAGTTAAAAAATTTTTTAATTGGCAAATAAAATTTAACTCTGGTCCCCCAAACCCAATAATGGTCTACATTATTATTCATAATATAATATAATATAATATAATATAATATAATATAATATAATATAATATAATATAATATAATATAATATAATATAATATAATATAATATAATATAATATAATATAATATAATATAATATAATATAATATAATATAATATAATATAATATAATATAATATAATATAATAATACAGCCTTTATGTAAAATAAACTAAAATTAAATCAATCAATTAATTAAAATAAATGGAATAATCCAATATAAATTATAATATTTAAAAATAAAATAAAATAAAAAATAGAAGAAATTTATGTATAATCATATATATCTTGCCTATATCTTTTTTTTTACTATTACCCTTGACTAGTATAGATCTGGGATGCGTACAATAAATGGAGATGCAACATAACCGTGACATGAACTTGAAATCACACTGTGCAGATTCATAATATTCACACTTCACGTTCATAACATTCACAGTCATATAGGCTTCAATGACCAACTAGTGTATTATGCTCATTATATCAATACTGCTTTATCCCTTTATTATCGATGCCTTTCTAAATAAGCTATTCATTCCTACTAAATAGCAACCATAGCCGTAATATTTCCTCTTATAGATCAGTGTTTCACTATGACTGCACTACATGCATGCGTATTTTGGGACGGAGTGATAATGAGTGTTAATTAACTTTGACCCATGGCTGGTTGTTGATTATGTGACATTGTACTCCAGGACAAAAGCAGATCCGTGACCCTGTTTGCTCACATTTCCACGAAGGAACACACGTCCCACAGGCTTCGTTTTACACGAGAACGGCAGTCTTAAAAAGATGTCACATTGCTAGCATAGCCTCCTAGATGCCAGCACCCGAAATATGCAACAACACACGACGCTCACATGTTGACAGCCTCTCATCTTAACAAGACCAAGCCCCCCCGCCAGAAACCGGATCCTGCTCCAGCCCGGGTGCCTGGACTGCAGGGTTTATTGGGCTAATTCACTGCTACAGACACGCTTGTAATAGCATCACCTGCATTCTGTGTGGCATCTTACATCTTTGTACTACTTCACGAAACCTGCATCTGCCATCCAGGTTAATGCAGGTCAGATATATAGCTCTTTTATTTGCCTGATTGGTTGACTTTTCCTACTGCAACTGATGCGCAACTGTGTATAAAGTTTTGTGTCCGAGCTGCATCTTCATAGGCCGGCAATGCGCTGGAAATAGATGAGGAATTAATGCAGCACAACCCTGAAAGACGCCCTCTACGGTGGGATATTATTAGGAAAGCCTCCCTCGCTGCTGAAGGAGGATCGTTCAAGGATTTACACGCTCCAAAACAAACAGCATTGGAATAAGTTACCCTTTGTTACTGATCTGCAGCCAGCTTTGTGGCTTCTCTTATATGGTTAAGATTAAGATGCGGCTACGGGATGCCGACCCAGGGGCGATCGTTACCCTCCACAAACGGCGAATGTGGCTTCACACCATCGGGATACATCTGTCTGCTGATAGACCTTCTATCGCCACATGACTGTAAAGCAAGCAGGCGCCTGGCTGCACATGGTGCGCCGCTGGGTCGGGTTTCACACAGACACAGATACAAAGAGCTGCCGATTGTTTGTTTGACGGCGTATCTATGGGCCCATGCGGAATGATCTTGATGAATAACATTGCTTCATGGGATGCACACCGCAAAAACCACTCTGAAGTTACAGTTTCAGAAAAGAGCAAATATATCTTACCACACAGTTTATGGGAATGTTATGGGTTTCCCTCAAAAGAAAGACAAGAAGAGTTCATTTAAAGAGACAGTTCACGCAAAAAAATGTAATTCTGACAATAATTTCACCCTCATGTCTTTTAGAATCAGTATCTGACTTTTTTTTGTTCAGTGGAACATAAATGGAGATATTTATAGCAGACTGTCCAAGCTGCTCTTTTCCATACAATGAAAGTGATTGGTGACTACAGCTTCAAGGCAGGATTTTTTTAACCAATAATCATTTCCAAACATAAAGCTATAATATATATAAAGAATATAACTTTTATGATGCTTTATTTATTCTTTTTGGCCGTTGGCCGCCCAGTCCCCATCCACTTTCATTGTAATCAGAAGATTAGCTTAGACCTTCTTAAAATGTTTTATTTTGTGTTACACTATAAAAATAAAGTAATATAGATACGGATGTCATGAGAGAAAATTGTGACAGAGTTTTAACTCAAATTTTTAGGTGAACTGTCCCTTTAAATAATAGGTTCCTTTAAATTATGCTAAATAATGCATTTGGCTATATTTTTCACTTCACTTTTCTCCCTCTCTTTTTAAACGTTCCTCTGCTATTAACAGCTCAAAGCTCACTAATAATATTATTTATATGTTCTGAAATGAACCTTCTGATTAGCCTCATACATTAGCACTAAGTAGGACATGAAATGCTGTTAAAAAGTTTCACAGCAAATGCCTCAGATTTCATGCAGGCAGACAGAACAAGAGGAATTGGAAAAAAAATAAGAATTCATTTCACACTGTTGTAAATCTCAGGGGTGTAATTTCCACTGGGGACAGGGGACATGTCCCCCCCACTTTTCAAAATTACGTTTGTGACCCCACCACTTTCAAATTTGTTTGTTATGATTTTTTTTTAACTGCACACCGTCATCGCCACGGAGGAGCAGGACCGAGCAGGACACAGACGCACGCATCCAGGAACGTCGCATGCACACTCTAAAAATAGCTCACTGAAAGTTCTAATGAGCAGGTATCGCGATTGCGGCACAGTCAGCGATGAAACACCAGACGCCGCAACAGATGACTTTAATGTTATCATGGATGAATAGAAAGAAAGGAGATGTGAGTTGGTTGATTCAGTAAATTAGCTCAGGTCAGGAT